CATTATAAAAAAAATTTTCTAAATCATATATCTAATAAGGGTGCAGCATCTAGAATAAATGAAGAACTCTTACAACTCATCAACAAGAAGTCAAGGAACTCGATTAAAAAATAGCCAAAAGGCCGAGTGCGGTGGCTCACACTGGTAATCCCAGGATGTTGGGAGGCCAAGGCTGCTGGATCACTTGAGGTTAGAAGTTCGAGGCCAGCCTAGCCAACCTGATGAAACCCACCTCTACTAAAAATACAATAATTAGCAGGGCACAGTGGCAGGTGCATGTCATCCCAGGTACTTGGGAGGCTGAGGCAGGAGAATCGATTGAATCCAAGAGGCAGAGGTTACGATGAGCTGAGATCATGTCACTGCACTCTAACCTGGGTGACAGAACAAGTCTCTGTCTCAAAAAAGCATGGGGTGGGGGTGGCAAAAGACAAGCTTTTCTCCAAAGAAATACACAGACAACAAGCACACAAAAAGCTACTTCAGGTCATTAATCATTACAGAGATGTAAGTGAAAATCACAAGGATGTACCACCTCACACCCAGTAGAATGATGTGTTAGCTTACCAAACAAATAAAAAAACAAAGAAAAGTAAGTATTAGTAAGAATGTGGAGAAACGAACCCTCAAACATTGCTGGTGGGAATAAAAAATGGTACAGCCATTTTATGTTTGAAAGAATTTGGCAGTTTCTCAAAAAGTTAAACATAAAATTGCCATATGACCCTGTAATTCTACTACTAGGTGTATACCCAAATATGTGAAAACAGGTACTCAAACAGGTACTTGTACAGCAATATCCATAGCAACATTATACACAGTAGCCAAAAAGCAGAAACAGCTCAAATGTCCATCAATGGATAGACAAATTGTAGTGTACAGATGATCCTCAACTCATACTGGGGTTATATCCTGATAAACACATTGTAAGTTGAATGTATCCTAGGTTGAGAATGTATTTAATACACTTAACCAATCAAACATCATAGCTTAGCCTAGCCTATCTTAAATGTGCTCAGAACACTTACATTGGCCTCAGTTGGGCAAAATCATCTAACACAAAGCCTAGCTTATACTAAAACACTGAATATCTCATGTAATTATTGAATACCGTACTGAAAGTGAAAACCAGAATGGCTGTACAGGTACGCAAAGTACAGTTTCTACTGATTGCACTATTATTTTTGCATCATCATAAAGTTAAAAAATCTTAAGTTGACCCATTATAAATCAGTGATCACTTATATACACACGGTGGAATATTATTTGGCTATAAAGAGAATGAAGTACTGATATATGCTACAATTTGGATGAATATACAAAACAGTATGTTAAGTGAAAGAGGCCAGATATAAAAGGTCACATATCATATGATTCTATTTATATAAAATATCCAGAATACATAAATTCATACAGACAGGATAAATCCAGACTGGTGAATTTAGAGTCAAATTGGTGGTTGCTAGGGGCTGGAAGGAGGGAGAAGGATAGAGACAAAGTGCCTACCAGGCAAGGGGTTTTACTTTGGGGTGAAGAAAATGTCTTGGAACTAGACAGAGGTATTAGTTGCTCAATATTGTAAATGTACTAAATGCCAATAAATGTTCACCTTAAATGGTTAATTTTATGTTATGTGAATTTATCTCCAAAAATTATTAAAACACATACACAAACCATAAGTTAAATAAATTAAAGAACAAATAGGAGAGATACAACTAAGGTTAGGTGGCCATAAAATTTCCTAGGAAAATAAGGCTTATGTTCTTTGTTATGACAGAATTTGTGATTTTTAAGACACAATAACCTGTGACTTTTATAAGCTCGTACCCCCTAAATCTGAAAACTGTGTAAAGATAAGGAATAGAAAGACTTGAAGCTGGCTACTATCATGTGATATTTGGAGTTTATGATTAGTGTAGTTGATGCTGTGGTGTGCCAAGAAGATCCTCCTTTATGATGAAAATATTCACTTCCCAGCTGCCATGCAAGTCGCCTGCTGATGATTCCATAATTACATTCCTCTCTTGAAATTTACCTTGGCTGGCTGTGTGTGCTTCTTCACCCAAATTTACACCCCTTCTCAGGGGCACATTCAATCACTTGTCAGTGAAGGACTACAATAATACATTTTATACATGGTAGTGCTATGTTCTAGGGATAAATCAATGAACATGATGGTGATGATCTCTGTCCTCCGGACCCAGAGGTAGTTATATAAGTAATTAGAATAAAATATGTTAAGTGATATGATAAGAGCACACACAAATGTGACTTAACTTGGTCTTGTGACAGGCTCAGGGAAGGCTTCCTAGAAAACATGTCTACCATGATTGCATATTTAGAAAACCCCACCATCTCAGCCCAAAATCTCCTTAAGCTGATAAGCAACTTCAGCAAAAGTCTCAGGATACAAAATCAATGTGCAAAAATCAAAAGCATTCCTATACACCAATAACAGAGAGCCAAATCATGAGTTAATTCCCATTCACAATTGCTACAAAGAGAATAAAATACTTAGGAATCCAACTTAGAAGGGATGTGAAGGACGTCTTCAAAGAGAATTACAAACCACTGTTCAATGGAATAAAAGAGGACACGAACAAATGAAAGAACATTCCATGCTCATGGATAGGAAGAATCACTATTGTGAAAATGGCCACACTGCCCAAAGTAATTTATAGATTCAGTGCCATCCCCATCAAGTTACCAATGACTTTCTTCACAGAATTGGAAAAAACTACTTTAAAGTTCATATGGAACCAAAAGAGAGCCCACATTGCCAAGACAATCCTCAGCAAAAAGAACAAAGCTGGAGGCATCATGCTACCTGACTTCAAACTATACTACAAGGCTACAGTAACCAAAACAGCATGCTATTGGTACCAAAACAGAGAGATAGACCAATGGAACAGAACAGAGCCCTCAGAAATAACACTACACATCTACAACCATCTGATCTTTGACAAACCTGACAAAAACAAGAAACGGAGAAAGGATTTCCTATTTAATAAATGGTGTTGGGAAAACTGCCTAGCCACATGTAGAAAGCTGAAACTGGATCCCTTCCTTACACCTTATACAAAAATTATTTCAAGATGGATTAAAGACTTAAATGTTAGACCTAAAACCATAAAATCCCTGGAAGAAAACCTAGGCAATATCATTCAGGACATAGGCATGGGCAAGGACTTCATGTCTAAAACATCAAAAGCAATGGCAAAACAAGCCAACATTGACAAATGGGATCTAATTAAACTAAAGAGCTTCTGCACAGCAAACACAACTACCATCAGAGTGAACAGGCAACCTACAGAATGGAAGAAAATTTTTGCAATCTACCCATCTGACAAAGGGCTAATATCCAGATGTACAAAGAACAGAAACAAATTTACAAGAAAAAATCAAATAACTCTATCAAAAAGTGGGCAAAGGATACGAACAGACGCTTCTCAAAAGAAGACATTTATGCAGCCAACAGACACATGAAAAAATGCTCATCATCACTGACCATCAGAGAAATGCAAATCAAAACCACAATAAGATACCATCTCATACCAGTTAGAATGGCAATCATTAAAAAGTCAGGAAACAACAGGTGCTGGAGAGGATGTGGAGAAATAGGAACACTTTTACACTATGGGTGGGAGTGTAAACTAGTTCAACCATTGTGGAAGACAGTGTGGCGATTCCTCAAGGATCTAGAACTAGAAATACCATTTGACCCACCGATCCCATTACTGGGTACATACCCAAAGGATTATAAATCATGCTGCTATAAAGACACATGCCCTCGTATGTTTATTGCAGCACTATCCACAATCGCAAAGACTTGGAACCAACCCAAATGTCCATCAATGACAGACTGGATTAAGAAAATGTAGCACATATACACCATGGAATACTATGCAGCCATAAAAAAGGATGTTCATGTCCTTTGTAGGGACATGGAAGAAGCTGGAAACCATCATTCTCAGCAAACTATCGCAAGAACAGAAAACCAAAGGAAAAGAAGTCATTATATGAAAAAGACACATGCACACACATGTTTATAGCAGCACAATTTGCAACTGCAAAGAGATGTAAACTATCTAAGTGTCCATCAACCAATGAGTGGATAAAGAAAATGTGGTATATATGCACCATGGTCTACTACTCAGCCATAAAAAGGAATGAAATAATGTCTTTTGCAGGAACTTGGATGGAACTGGTGGCCATTATTCTAAGAGAGGTAACTCAGGAATGGAAAACCAAGTATCATATATTCTCACTTATAAGTAGGAGCTAAGCTATGAGAATGCAAAGTCATAAGAATGATATAATGGACTTTGGGGATTTGGGGGTGGGGGTGGTGAGGAAGGGGAGTGAGGGATAAAAGACTACATATTGGGCTCAGTGTATACTAATCAGGTGATGGGTGTACCAAAATCCCAGAAATCACCCCTAAATAACTTATCCATGTACCCCAAAACTACCTGTACCCCAAAAACTGTTGAAATAAAAATAAATTTAAAAAATTATCTATGAACATAGTTACTTTTATTTAAAGTAGTTGGAAAAAACCCTAGAGTCAGAAACTCTTGTTTCTCCCCCACACTCTAACTTAAACATAACTTTGCAGAGTATTCATCAATTTTTTCTTGTTATTATAAGCAAAAAGGAGAGGCTAAACTTCAACCAAACAATTGACCCCAAATACAACAGATTTTAAGAGAAAATGTGTATCCTTTAGCCTGAAGTAGATTCTTTCAACAAATAGTAAGCTTTTTTTTAATGCTAACATAATCCTAAATTTGTAATAATTTCAGTGTGACACTGGTAGGACCAGCAGGTTTCCATGCAAAATCATCAGCTACAATTACAAAATATTTTTTATGTTTGTAATGAAAAGCAGAAGCAATACCAAAATACTTAGGTTGGTTGGACATGCTAAAGATTATATCACCAACTGTTCTGGCAATGAAGTATTAGAAAGAGTAGAAAATTTCTCAATCATTTCCTACCTGCTGGCCATATTCCACTCAAGGGCTGGATTTTGAGAATTCCTTTCAGTCTCTGTTAGCACCCCTCCTGAGACACTTTCCTTCTCTGGTTTTAGTTGATCCCATTGTGCAGTACCAATATTGATAGACTGCAGGTCTATTTGGTATTGTCTGTCTTCGATTTCTGATCCAGGATCTCGAAGAATTCCTAAGTTCAAGGCTCTCCTGTAAAGGCAGTGAAAAAAACAAAAACAAAAACAAGAAAACAGATAAAATAACCATTCTATATTTATTTTGTTCACTAACATATTGTCAATACCATTTTTTTCACTGTGGATTACTGATGAATAAACTGGGGCACATCTATGAAAAAGGTTTCAGAAAGTTAGCTCATATTATGACTTGAAAACATATCCAAAACTTATCACTTAGAGTAATCTACAATACAATGACTTCTTACGTTATTCCTGGCACGTTACTCTTTTTCTAAGTACTTTCACATACATGATTTCAATCCCTGAGATGCTCTGAGGTTCTATTTAATGTCCATTTTTTACCAATGAAAAAATAATTCAGAGAGTTTGAAAGATAGGTAAAGTTACAAAACTAGTATGGGACAAAACTACAACACAAATACGAGGTTTTTTGTTTTTTTGTTTTTTTACTCAAAACGCTTTCCCTTGCTAATCATCTACTTTCCTCTGAACTTTGATTTCTTGTCAGGAAAGGTAATGGAGCCTTCTTAATCTATTTCACTCCCTCAACCCTTGCTCTTCATTCTTTATATAACCCAAATGTAGTGTTGAGAAATGACAAGGTTTCTGATGTAGAATAACAGTGAGGTTTACTGCCCCATATAGAGTTGGAACATACAACGTTGATCCTACTGGGTCCACTGCTAAGTAAATGAATAAAATAATCTGTAAAGCTAAATCAAAGGAAGTAAATAGATAAAAATTTTCATGAAGGTTTTAAAGTAAAATAGAAAGGCAGTAAGGTAGGGTGGGAAGCACAAAGTTTGAGAGCCAGAGAAAACTTAAGTGTGCCTGAATTTGGGACCTTTTTCTTATGTTAAGTTTTGTTGGTTCAGAAAAATTTTAGAGTAGATGATCAAAAGAAAAATAGTATTTGGTCCCCATAAAAGTTTTTATCAGCAGAAAAGCTGAAATAACAAAGCGAATAAAAATAGCCTTACTAGTAGAAATATTTTTTAAAGTTTCAATTACAGATATTAGAAAAAATACAATTAAGTTAATTACATCAGTTGAACGCTAATGAAACTTATTATTCGGAGGTGATGGGGGGAGTGTTGGGTCCTAGTGTGAAAAGTACAGAAAAAGGCACAATCTGATTCGGTTTTTGCTTTGGTTGACTAAGAAGGTGTGGAGGTCAGAATAAGCACTCCCAGAGGCTGGTTAAACGATAATGGACAGTGAATGACTACTCAGACTCAAGAGAGCAGGTGTCTGGGCCAGCTGCTCAGGACTGGGCCAGGCAAGGTGAGGGCTGATATTAATTAATTCAAGTGAAGAGAGAAGCAAGGAGCAGACATGAGTGGAATAAGCAAGCAGCTCAGGTAGTGAGACGTCACAGGGAGTTATGAATGGGGGAAAGGGGAACAAATAGCCAGTGATCAACAAGCCATAGCAGGAGCCAGAGAAACTGAGGATAATTCTCATGATTCCTAAGGTAGGAGCTGGATCTGTTTCTTCTCCTTTTTAACTTAGAAAAATTGCAGGAAAAGTGACCTAAAATTTTACACAAACTCAAGAACTGCATTAGAAACAGGGCTCATAAGTGGGCCATTAATCCTTTCAATTTGTCTTAAAGAGAAAAGGAATGAATGACAGTGGGGGTAGGACGGAGAGGCATTTTGAGAGTCTCTCTGTAGAAGAATGTTCTAGTTTCATTTAAATATTGGTGTAATTCTGTTAATTCTTAAAAGGCCCAGCTCAGCTATCATTTTTTTTATGAAGACTTTCCTGATCACCCTTCCTCCAAACTCCCTCCTTCCCAAATCTGTGTTCTTAGGGTCTCTCTATGCTTGTAAATACAATAAAACCACATTGACTTATCAGTCTTCCCAAATATGCCAAACATTTCTTGAAGTCAGGAACTATCTATACTATCTAGCAATAGGTAAATGCTGTTTCAATTCACTGATGTGAACTGACATAAATCTTTACAAATCTCAGGTGGAGAATGTATCTGTACATAGCAATAAGAGCACATAGTCTTTAAAACACTAAACTTTTGAATCAGGGCCACATAAATTCTGATCGCCAGCAAATAGATCTGAGGCAGTTGATGGCCTAACCTATTTCCCTAGATTATTACTCCCCATATAAACATTACTTTTACTTATTTTAAAACAGCCAATGCTCTGTACATTTTAAATAAACTCCCTAAACATATTTTTAAGGTGAACTAAAATACTTTAAGAATGCCTTTGAAGGAAAAAAAATGAAAACAAAATTAGTGCTATATTAAAAGACAAATCAACCTAATCCCAATGTAAACAACCGTTTTCCTATTTCTCTTGACACATGGAAAAACTGTATAATTACAAGGTTACAATCACAAAAACACCGAGTTTCATTAGAGTTTTCATTGCATTCAGGCTTGAAATTTCCCATTTTTTTGCGGGGGGGGGGGGGCTTAAATTAAGCTATATTTCTCCTGTCATCATTTGTTGACAACATGATTTCCCACAGGTTCTTCTTCCCTATGCAATACTTTCTATTTTGAGTGATAGCCAGATACTTCCAAAAATGTAATTTTCAAATTTAAAACTTTTAGGGATCAGGATTAGTACTTCTACATTTTTTCTTATTGCTTGCTTTTAAAATTAAGTTATATATTTGATATATTGACATATATGTGACATATTTGATTTGAAAAAATTCAGAGTAATTTATAATATTTGAGGATATAAATCCAACTTAAAAGTTAATTGCAAAACCTTCCAAATCTCAGCTGGGGAAAGTAGGATAAGCAGTTGATTTATGTGAGTTTTAGTCTCAGACTTTCCAATGATCATGAGCTTGCAGAAATTATTTAACTTCCCTGTGCTTTAGTTATTTTGGTATAAGGACTATTATAAAGATAAATAAAATATATGTGTAATTGAAAAACTATTCATAAAGTACCTTATAAGTTTTATGACTATTATGGAAGTATATTATCGTATATGATTTTGAATGAGCAGCATATTTAAATCACCAACTAATCACAAATGCACAAGTATCAAGATAAAACCAAATCCACTTCTCTATGAATGAACTGCAAAGAAAACGATACAGATAAATGTTCCTTAACATTCCTACTATCACCTATTTCTGAATATGGCATATTAGAAACTCTGAATGAACCTCCTAGCTCTAATAACCAAATTGCTTTAAAAAAAATTTAAAGTATTTTTTCAGACACATCCTGGAGCCAACACCAATAACAGAATAACAGAAACTGGAAAGTCTTCCAAATAATGTGAAACCAGGAACCATGATAAATAAGCACCTGCCAAAGCTGACTTTTACTCTACAGTTTTCTGCTAAATCCTGCAGACACTGATTTTCTGCTCTGTTAACTGCACAGGAGGAGAGGAAGCTCAGGGCTCACGCAAATGATCAATCTGTTTAATAGAAGACAATTCACATAAAGCTGAGATTACCAAGGGTCACCAGCAGTGAAAGGGTGAATTAGAAAGAGCACTTCTAGGGAGCTCTGTGGTGATAGGACAGTTCTGTATCTTGATTGTGATGGTGGTTACATGAATCTACATGTGAAAAAATTACATAGAGCACTATATACATTAACACAAATAAGTGCATGTAAAACTGGCAGAATCTGAATACAACTGTGTATTGATTGTACTGATGTCAACTTCCTGGTCTTGATATTGTACTATAGTTACACAAGACGTTTCTATTGAGAGAAACTGGGTAAAGTGCACACAGAACTTCTCCAAATATTTTTTGTAATTCTTTATGAGTCTATATTTCAAAATATATTTTTAAAGCAACAGTCCTCCTCATGCTCATGTAGAAACAGACAAGGCAATTTATCAACTTACTTGTCTTTACCTTACTAATGGGTAAAGAGGAAAACAAACAAACAAACAAACACAAAACCCAAACCAAAAAACAATGCTCCAAGATTTTGCAATCATGAGCTAGCACTTGGAAGTTTGGGTCTCAAATATGTGATGAACAAAAAATTCTGTCTGGAGAGTCTTGCTCCAGGTAGACAGTGCTGCCAGATGACAGGCAAAGGCAAAAGTAAAAGCACAATATCTTGGGATGAAATCAATTTCAACTCAAAGCTCTTCCACAGATCAGGTTCCAAGTGAAATGAGACACTCACAGACAAAATTCACAATTCACACAACAGCAGAAGCAATGGACAGACTAGCAAATATAAAATATGAAATAATTATTTAAAAAGTAAAAAAGCATCTTCAAAATATGAGCAGGGAACAAGACCTAACAAAAACAAAAACAAAAAAACTCAAGCATGCCCAGCTTGAGTGATAGTGAATAAAAAGAAAGATCCAATGAAATCCAGAATGTAATCCAAAGAGACAAGGAAATACTATAAATGAAAGAAGGTTAAGATTCATGAAGAATAGAGAGAAAAAGTCTAAAAAATGCTTAATTAAAGCTTGCGGGAGGTAATACACAGAACAAGGAGGAGGCAATATTTGAAGAGATAATATCTGAGAATTATTCCACAATTATTGAAAATGCCAAGTCCTAAATCCAGGCAGCCCGAAGTATCCCAAGAAATAATCACTAGGAAGACACTGGTAAATATATGAGTAAGTCTAAACAAATATTATGTTTAAATTAATAATAATGATGTCTAAATTGTGATGAGAAAATAGGCCAAAAATAAGACACAGGAAAATAATAGTATATAAATAACGGGACCAGATAATTTGACATAAAATGTTCTAACTTTCTTATATTGTTGAAGAAGAATATTAACTTCAAACTTTTGTTAAGTACACATGTTAACATTGCTAGAGCAGCCACTAAAATAACAGATATGGAACACATAACTTCCAAATAAATAAAAATTAGAATGTCAGAAATGAAAAACCAAAGTTAGGCAAGTAGAAAGCACATAAGAAGAAGATACAAATAAAAATCCCAACATAATAATCAGCATAAATATAGATAATGTAAACTCTCCCATTAAAAGATAAAAACTGTCATATGGCATTT